CTGGGGCGCCGCTCTCCAGCCATGAGCCCTGCATCTGGCGCCCTCCGAAGGGGAGTGGCCTGTGGGATCGGGCTGAAACCAGCTCTCTGACATCCCCTGAGGGGTCCCGGATTGCAAGAAGGTGCAGGCCAGGCTGAGGGGCCCCACTGGTGCACCATTGGGCAGGGAGGGACTGCCGAAGGACTCCAGGGCATGTCTGGCCCATCTTGCTCAGTCCTGATCAGCCAGACCCCAGCAGCAAGCTAACCTACCCGTTGGAGCATCTTCCCCCTGGTGGTCAGTGCATGTCATAGCGACTTGTTGACCAGTTGACTTTCTGCCCCCCTGGTGGTTAGTGCACGTCATAGCTAGTGGTTGAGCAGCCTTAGCATATCATTAGCATATTATGCTTTGATTAGTTGTTCAGTTGTTGTGCCTTTCGATCTATTTGCATATTACCCTTGTATTATATAGGATACTATGAAGGGAAAAACCAGTCATGTGGTAGAGAGTAAATGAAGCTTCATATAATAAGGTCAGGGAAACTGACTTGGAGCAGATGATTAAACTGATACTGGAAGAAGTCATCTGGCAGAAGCGGGGAGAAGAGCTTTCAGGGCAGGAGGAAGGAGCACTATGTGAAAAGCCCTAAGGTGGACCCGCGCTGGGTGGCTCAGTTGAGTGGTGCATCATCCCGTACTCCAAAAGGTTGTGGGTTTGATTTCAGGTCAGGGCACATAGGTTGTGGGTTCAATCCACATTTGGGCCAAGTACGGGAGGAGCCAATTGATGTTTCTCATATGGATGTTTCTCTCCCATTCTCTAAAAATCAATGAACAAACATATCCTCCGGTGAGGATTTTTTAAAAACCCTAAGATTTGAAAAACTTGTGTGTTCAAGGTACAGAATTGCAATCAGTGTGGTTGAAGCATAGTGAGTGAAGGGAGGGATAGTTAGGGCTTTTTAGGTCATGGAAAGGAATTTACCAGTAATTTTTATTTAAAGGTAATGAGAAGTCATGGGTGAGTTTTAGACAGGGGTAAGACATGATTTGACATGTTTTTAAAAGATTGCAAACTGGCTGTTTTGACAAGCATAAGTGATACTTTTTTTTCATCAACTTGTATTTTCACTTTTAAGAAGTGTTATTAACGGTTGTTAAGTCTTAGTAATTTTGCAATAATATATCCGTATGTAGTGTAGTCAGTGCTCAAAATTTTCTTAAATTGTATAAGTGGAAATGGAAGTGGTAGTGTTTTTGTCCTTGAAAGGGTTTTTTTGTTAATTCTGCAAAACGTTTTCATTTTCAAATTCTGAGATTTCCATCTTTTCTAGTGTAAATATACATTAAAAATATGTTCTTTAATGCTTGAACTAAAAACTGAGTGTACTAGTGCTATGAAAGATCACTCAAAGGTTTTTGTCCTTTTCCTGCAATAGTATAAATAAGGGTTTAATATTTTAGGGGTTTTTTCCTTAGGTAAACTTTGCCCCCGTTTTCATTTTAGTCTGTAAATGATGGGACCCTGCTTTAACCATGTGTTAGCTGAGTATCTTTGGGAAAATTATTTAATTTCTCTCAGTCTTCCTTATCTGTGATAATAGTAATAGTAATGGTCTCTTAGGGTTGATATGAGGATTAATAACCCAGGAAAAATTAAGTACTATGATATTGTTAACTAGTGCACAGTCGGTGTTGGTGAATGCCCAAGATCCAATCAGTTCTTATTGTTTGTGAATTCACCCACTAGCTAAAATTTAGAAGACTCAAAATCAGTACTTGTGGTGCTTTTGCAGTCATTCATTGACACACACAGAATCATGATAAATTTGAGTTTTTGATATGTACATTCCCAGATGAAGTCAAATAGAGGAGTGCTCTTTTTTTTAGATTTAATGGCTGTTCAAGTGTACCTCTTTTTTGTTTTGCTTTGTTTTGTTAATCCTCACCTGAGGATATTTTCCCATTGATTTTCAGAGACAATGGAAGGGAGGGGGAGAGACAGGGTGAGAGAAACATTGGTGTGGAAGAGACACACCGATTGGTTGCCTCCCACACACGCCCTGACCAGACTGGGTGGGGATCAAGCCTGCAACTGAGGTACATGTCCTTGCCGGTAATTGAACCCTTGACCCTTCAGTCCACGAGCTGATGCTCTATCCACTGAGCCAAACTGGCTAGGGCCAGGTGTACCTGATTTTATTGCACTGTGCTTATGTCCTTACATGTGTTTTGTTTTTTTTTTTTTTTTACAAATTGAAAGCAGTAACCTGCACCAGCAAAAAGATTACAACTCGCCCTGTTGCGGTGGTGCAGTGGTCTGTAATTGAAACGGCAATATCTCCAGGGTATGCCTATAAATAAGAGTCCTTGTTGTGGTCTGTTTAGTGCCATGTTTTTCACATTTTGTACTTTTTGTGAATGATTTCACCATTTTAATAAGCTCCCAAGTGTAGTGTTAAAGTGCTGTCTAGTGTTTCTAAGGGCTGGAAGGCTGTGATATGTCTTACAGAGAAAATATGTGTTAGGGTTCCTTCAGGAATGAGTTGATAGTGCTTCTGACTATGAGTTCAATGATAATGAATCAAAAATAATTGTTTAATAAGGTGTCTTTAAACAGAAACACAACATAAAATAAGGTTATGTGTTGGTTGATGAAAATATTATGACCAGAGACTTGTTAGGAACCTAGCCTTCTATTTTCCCTAGGAACAGTGATTCAGTATTCAACAGTTCAGTGTTTGTGACAACTTGATAGTACATAACTACTACAGATAATGAGAATTCAGTAGGACATAACTACTGTAAATAATGACAATTGAGTGTTTTTAGTGTCAAGATTAAGAGTAGATAAAACATCTAGATAGTCGCCCTAACCGGTTTGGCTCAGTGGATAGAGCGTCAGCCTGCGGACTCAAGGGTCCCGGGTTCGATTCTGCCAAGGGCATGTACCTTGGTTGCGTGCACATACCCAGAAGGGAGTGTGCAGGAGGCAGCTGATCGATGTTTCTCTCTCATTGATGTTTCTAACTCTCTATCCCACTCCCTTCCTCTCTATAAAAAAATAAAAAAAATATATTAAAAAAAATCCAGATAGTCAAGAAATATGTGGCATTTTGAATTACATTAAAAACTTCTGTGACCTCCCCCTTAATAATTCAGACATATCCCTGGCTTAAAGCTAGGAGCCCCTAGTTTCTTCCCATTCATGTTGAGTTGATCAATTCTTTTCAAGATTAGATAATGGTAATTTTTGATACTAACCAAAAATGTGCTTTTTTCCCCCTTCTTCTTAATAGTTGGGTGTTTCCCTTAGCAGTTTGGGAGCTATACCAGCAGCAGCACTAGACCCCAATATTGCAACACTTGGAGAGATACCACAGCCACCACTTATGGGAAATGTGGATCCTTCCAAAATTGATGAAATCAGGAGAACAGTCTATGTTGGCAATTTGAATTCCCAGGTAATGAAGACACTGATTCTTTCCCCCTTCTTAAAAATCATATAGATTGATAAAGTAATATTTACCTGATTTTTAAAAAAAGAATATACTTTATTAAAATGTTACTTTGTTTCTTTAGACAACAACAGCTGACCAGCTACTCGAATTTTTTAAACAAGTTGGAGAAGTGAAGTTTGTACGGATGGCAGGTGATGAGACTCAGCCAACTCGGTTTGCTTTTGTGGAATTTGCAGACCAAAATTCTGTACCAAGGGCCCTTGCTTTTAATGGAGTTATGTTTGGAGACAGGCCATTGAAGTAAGAAACCCTAAACAAAGAAATTTTAATGATTTTGGAAAACTTTAAAGTATTTTTGATGTAATTAAGGCTTTTTTTTTTCTTTTTAATAGTAATTGGCAATATGTGGAAAGGAAGACTTTGTGTTAAGTATACTAAATGAATACCTGAGATACCATTTTAGTTTTTATGGTTGTATTTGAAGACATCTTATTTTCTATTTTATAAAGTTTAGTTTAATGTTAATGTTGGTTAAATATCCTATATAATGATCATAGGTATTTTTCCATAAGCTTTAACAGGTCATGTGGGTTTTGCATTATGACGGGACTAATGGACAATTTAACATATGGGTTGAACTTCTTTAATAATACAGTAATAAGAATTTTGGTAAATCCAAAATCCCAGGAAGAAAATAATATTAAGCACTCAGAAATGATCTGAATCATATATTTTGAGTTTTAAGGTTGGCTCCTATCTTTGTTTGCAAAATGAGAAATTGATGTAGCCTATCAGATACTCTATTTTATGCAAATTATTGAGGTAATTACCTTAGTTATACAGTTTGATAAGGATTCTGCTATTAAAGGATAAATAACTATTCCTAATGAAAGCTTGTCTTCTATTGTGGAAGGGGTGAGACTGAAGAAATTCTTCTATGTGCATCAGAGAAACCATTGTTGCCTGGCAGATAAAGAGTTTTATCAAATGCCTCCCACATTCAAAGCTGTGTTTGACTCAGCTGTGTTCCAGGGGTGATTAAAATAGTGTACAGAATATACAGCTTCCCTTGCTCTTCCTAGGGTGAGAGGTTATCAACAAAATCTTATAATCTAAAAATAGAAGTGATTGATTTTAATATTGGTGTCAACATTTTAATTTATTATAATTCTAAGGTGTGCAGGGGAAGTAGTTGTCCTGGCCTATTAAAGTTGTTAAAGAAGTCAGCTAACATTCAGAGTTTTTTTCTCCTCTTGCTTTTGGCTTTGTTAGCAAGAGATGATGGCAGGTAGAAATGAGATTCATTATGGGTTTTGAGGTTGGTTGTGGTTATTCTGTATTTAGCTATATTTCCCTTAATGTGCTTTCAAGGCGTCGATTCATAAATATATGTATCGTGTAAACAATTGTTTCATGTTTTGTAAAAGATAGTGTGTATTTGTGATATGCTAATGTTTTTAATTTAGAATAAATCACTCCAACAATGCAATAGTAAAACCCCCTGAGATGACACCTCAGGCTGCAGCTAAGGAGTTAGAAGAAGTCATGAAGCGAGTACGAGAGGCTCAGTCATTTATCTCAGCTGCTATTGAACCAGGTAAGGTCATAGTGTTGTTACAGGTCATAGTTTAAGATCATAGAATTTTAGAACTGCAAGGAATTTTAGAAATTAATCTTGTTCAGTTCCTTCATTTTACAAACAGGAAGACTGAAACTCAAGAAAGAGTAAGTGACTTACTAATGTCAAAGGTCAAAGAAGTACTTAGCACATTTTTTTCCCATGATACTGAATTGAGGCACATTAGCCTGAGTTAATCAATTTTATACTTTAAGAGCAAAATTAATGCTCAAAACTGACTTGCTTAAAGCAACGTATAAATGTTATTGTGAGACCAAAAACAAGAATAAATATATTTAAAATGTGATGATTAGGCAGACTTACTTTTCATCAAAGTTTTAATTGTAAATATAAAAAAGATTCTGTGAGTTAGGAAAAATACAGACACTGTTTTAGCAAGGTAAAAGAACACTTACCTCTTCAAACTTTTGTGTTGCTAACTAAAATTTAAGAATCCAATTTAAAACTGTCTAGATGGTTTACATTTGAGCAAGTTTTCTAAATTAGCACTCAGAATTTAAGTCTCAATTCTAGCAAAATAAATGGAGAAAGATTTAAAATCACTGTTATAGGAATTACAGACATGTTATAATCGTACATTATGGCAGCAACAAAATATTACGAACAGCTGTTTATAATCATCTGGTTTATATGTACTGCTGCAGGGTGGCTGCACTCAACGAGTTTATGCAATGACTTTCTTGGATGTTTCTGAAGGATAATTGCACAGGAGGAGGATGTACAGAGAGTAGGCCCCTTGCACTATATGTGGTACATTCCACTTGTGCCTGATTATTAACTGGGATCTTTAATTGTTCTGAGCTTACACTGCAAAGTGGTTTTTTCCTCCCAGAGTCTGGAAAGAACAATGAAAGAAAAGGCGGTCGATCTCGTTCCCACACTCGTTCCAAATCCAGGTCTAGCTCAAAATCCCATTCTAGAAGGAAAAGATCACAGTCGAAACACAGGTGAGAATTTCTGCTATCACTTTAAATTTTTTTGGTTTTGTATTAAAAATAGTTAAGATTTCTGAGTTTTTGTCCAAATGTCAGAATTTAGAAATTTCATAGAGTTCACCACCAGAAAGTATGGTTACCATGAAATATTGCTTTAATTATAATTAACTATAGTTTAAAAGGTAATTTTTAATAATACATCATTTTTATTTCAATGAATTTTTAGTTTTAGAAGTTGGTTTTCTATCTTAAGATGCAATGTTTCTGATTTTTCTAAGAGTAAACGAGTGTTTATACAGACTGGCAGAAACTTTGCATATTGAGAAAAGGGAACCATGTATATGGTGATGCTGATGGCTGATTGCTGAAGTTGCTGCCCCCTCCCTCTTCCCAGTCCACTCAAGTGTTGGAAGTACCATCCCAAATCTTGCTTTCAAGTCCTTCTTCTCTTCAGTACTTTGGTACCTGAAACAGGAGTGACTTCCAGCTTTAGTTCCAACTATTGTATTGTGCTTAAGCTCTGTTTCTGTTTTGTTTTATTTTTGAGCATAGCTCTGTCGTTTTAACTTTCTTTTTAAATCTGTTGTGTTTGACTCAAAGGGGATCTCAGTTGTCTTCTTTAAAATGTAGAGGGACTGTTACTGAAATGTGGAAATGTATATAGTGGATTCTAACTGTATGCTGTATGCACACACATACTTAGGCCTGAAGAGAAGAGGTAGATAACAGTGTGTGCATGTTTATTTGTGTGAGATGTGAGGGTATTAGAAAAGGAGGGGAGAGTTTTAGGGGAGGGAACCAGTATGCTGCAGTATGTTGAACCTCACCAGCAAGCTCAGTTTAGCCTGTTTTTCTGTGTTATTCAAGGAGATTGAAACAATGAGATAGGAAAATATTTCTTTGACTCTAATAGGGTATACTTCTTGTTATTTACTGGTTTATACTTCTCTGTTATTCTTAGTTTGCAAAATCTCCTTTGGCATGTGGTTTTACTGTATTCTTCCATCCAAAGTCTTACAATAAAGCAAGTTCAGATCCAAGTGAAGGAAGTTGTTTCATGTAAAAGGAATGACCAGTGCAGCAGAAGCCAGAACTGGAGAAGGAAAAGGGTATAGAAGTAGTGGTGCTAGATTGTTGACATTAGTATAGGTTGACAGGATGTGGTGAACATAAAGGAGGTCAAGGAAATACAGAATTGAATTGAAGAGTTCATTTTGTGTTGATTACAAGAGCCAGGCTCCAAATCTAATACCTTAGTGGTTTTCTAGGCTAGAATAAAACCAAACTTAATGATTGACATCATTGTTTCCTTGATAATCTCTGGGAAGCTTTATCTGTTGGGGCAAATAATTTAACTATCCACTTTAAGGTTTTTGCTCTCATCATTTTAACTATATTTGGGTATTTTCCCTTTGTAAGGGTTACTGGGGAGGAGGATTATTCAGTCTAAACTGAAATTTGTTAATTGTTTCTCATTCATGGGACTGCTTTCATGTAGGTCTAACTGTGTAGCATTATAAATTACTTATTCTTGGCATGCATACAATTGACCCTTGAACAACATGGGTTTGAACTGCATGGGTCCACCTATATGTGGATTCTTTTCAGTAAATATATAGCTGTGCATATCTGTGGGTTTAGGGTTCATGAATTCAATCAACCACATATCGAAGACAGTACATATTTTCGATCTGCAGTTAGGAATCCACAAAAGTGAGAGGCCTACCATATGCATTGTTCTATGCCATCCTATATAATAAAACCCTAATATGCAAATTGACCAATGGTGGAACGACCTGTCGCTATGATGCACACTGTCCACCAGGGGGCAGACGCTCAATACAGGAGCTGCCCCTGGTGGTCAGTGTGCTCCCATGGGGAGCGCTACTCAGCCAGAAGCCGGGCTTTCAGCTGGCGAGCACAATGGCAATAGTGTGAGCCTCTCCTGCCTCCCTGGCAGCACTAAGGAGCAGTGAGCAGACGGGTGGTAAGGACGAGGGGTCCCAGACTGCAAGAGGGCGCAGGTCAGGCTGAGCGCCCCCCCCCTCCCCCCCCCATTCCATGAGTGTCGTGCACTGGGTCTCTAGTTTTGTATAAGGGACTGGAACGTGCAGTCCAGTATCCAGAATTTGGTATCTGTGGTGGGAGGGGTTAATTCTGGAATCAGTCTTTTTTGGATTCTGAGAGATGACTGAAGTTTTGGGGGAGTTAGAAGATTTTTGACTGTCTGTTGGGTCAGCACTCCAACCCCTGCATTGTTCATGGTTCAATTTATATATACACACATACACATATCTACATATATACACACACACATATACATGAATACACACACATTTTTGGTAAGCACATACTATTTTTATACATGGTTTATAGAAACATATAGCTTTTACTAAGTTCTTAAATACATTAAGAGGATAAGTTACGTTTAAAGCGGGGGAGGGGGGGACCCTTTACCCAGAAAACTTAAGGACCTTGCCATGGAAGTAACTTCCCCCACCCCAGTAGGGAAGAGGGATGTCGGACATTTCTTGGCTTTGCCTCCCCTGCTGTTGGGATTTGATGCCCTTAGCACTAGCTCTGACCTGCTAGACTTAACAGGAGTGTGGGTTGTAGGAGCCCTTTCTCTTGAAGGCCACCTTTCTATGTTCTCACTGTCCTCAGGTGCTTCTAAGCCCCTACCCTTCTTATTCCTTCCTCTTAGGAGGGAGGAAGGGGTTTTTTGTCACTGTGACCTTGGTTAGGACTAGGATGATTTGTTCCCACTTTTTGTTTCCAAATTTTCATGTGTTCTCATCCTGATAGTGTTAGGAAAGATGGGTGGCACTCTATTATATTTTTAAAGACCAGCATAGGACTATAAGACATTTAATAACATTTTATGGGAAACAACTGACTTACAGTTTTTGCAACATGATGGTAAATTGCCCTTTATTCACTTTAATTTATAAATGCAATTTTGCACATTACTCTAAAATGAGAACAGCTAACAGTAGTTCAAATCTTATCTTTGGTTGGATTAGATTTACTCTTGATTTGAAGCTTTTAGCATTCCTAGTTAAAAAAACTTGTAGGTGACTAGAGGGTGATGTAGAGACACGAAAATATTTAATGTCAAAATTAAAATACAATAATTATTCTTGGGCAGTAACTTTCAAACTCTAAGGAGACCTACAGGGAAGGTAGGAAGCCAATTAACTTGTGTCTACCAGGGGTCTGGTTAAATATTGTAAAGGGTTTTCTTTGCTTAATTAAGGTGGAAAGCATTGTTTGATTAAAACAAATTATATTTTTAGTAAAGTTAAGAACAGAAGTCTTAAGATTTTTTATTAAGTACAAAGAAGCAAAGGCCCTTTATCCTATGTGGATGTCTGTAAATGGACTAAAAATGTTCTCATTTTTGCCTTAATACCTATTAGTTGATCCTGTATCTCTTAGGTTATTATTGATAAAAATTTCAACAAACTCTGACTTATCTTCTTATATTAAAAACGTGGTATGAAGATAAATGTATAATTTTTAAAGACATAATAGATGAGTGGTTCAGTTGAAAATTAGCTGTTGAAAAACAAATTTTGACTGAAAAATGTGTTTAAAAAACAAGATTTCATTATTAATCGAGGGTTGTCTGATTTCATAGTATACCACAGCATTTAACTATATGTATTTCTTTTATAGGTATTTGTTTTAATTCATGAAAACATGACTCTCAAAATGATTTTTAATTATATAAAGCATACTTATGACAGCTCATTTGACCTCTTTGGAATAAATATAGAATTTAAAGTTTTCATATATACTGTTGATGGTGATGACAGTGAGAATTAGGAATTTTATGCATTTACTCTGTGCCAGAGACTGCTAGGCAGTTAATTTTTCATACATCATCGGATTTAATCCTCATGACAGCCCTGTAATTCTTACTCCATTTACAAATGAAGAAACTCAGGGTAGAGAGGTTGGCTAGTCAGAGTTCTCACAGCTAGTGTGTGGCAGAGCTGAGTGTTAGGCTCAGATTGTCTGACTCCAAAGCCAGTGACTCATCAGTTTATTATTAAGGTTGTGTGCATTCAGTATTGTTATATTTTAATAGTTCCTAGGATATTTCATTATAAAAAACACTAGAGGCCTGGTGCACAGATTTGTGCACCGGTCGGGTCCTGCAGCTAGGCCTGCAGGGGTTGAGCTGAAACTGGCAGTCTGACATCCCTCGAGGGGTCCTGGAGTGCAAGAGGGCACTCTGCAAAGTTGCTGTCACTTGGCAGCTCCAGTGTTGAGCATCTGCCTCCTGTTGGTCAGTGTGTGTCATAGGTACCAGCCAGTTGGCCGGTCGTTTAGGCCTTTATATATATAGATATTACATAAGCAGTTATTTCAGTGGGAAAAGGAGCCTAGAGAATTTCACAATTGGAAAAACTATTGTTTTTTTCTTTCTAGAATTTCAGTAATAAGGGTTTCTTTTAATAACTATCTTTATCTCTATATATAAAAGGCTAATATGCTAAGTGTATGTCCAACCGGTTCAGTTGAAAATAAGAGGCACACTGACCATCATGGGGCAGACGCTCAATGCAGGAGCTGCCATGACATGCACTGGCCATTACAAAGAAACAGTACCGTGGACCTGGCACCAACAAAGCAACACTCGGCTTCCCCCAAGTGGGACACAGGCCCTGCCACCTTCCCAGAGCGACACCCCACCAAATCGCAGCCAATGCTGCTGAGACCCCATGGCGCAAAATGTGGCCCACAGCCCAGCTTGGAAACAGTCGCTGTGGGTGCCAGGTAATGACGTCACGTAGGAACGCCCGGCTTCCTCTCCCTAGCATCTAGCCTCCTTGGAGTTTATTCAGCTTAGGAACATGACTTGCTTTATAGCCACATGCAAACATTTTACATATCAACCAAATGTCTGTGAAGCATTTTCCCGTGCCCCATCTCATTTGATCCTCACAGAAATCCTGGAGTAGGTAGATAGGAGACTTGAGAGAATCCTGTTTTCTTTTCATGAGCCGGAAAACAGAGAGTTAGAAAGTTTAGAAACTTGACCTGACTGAAAAGAATAAACGGTAGACTTTGAAAATGACTTCAGGTTTTCTCATTGTACAGAATATAGTCAACACTGCTGCAGTTAAATATTTTACCCTCTGTTCTCCCTTCGTGATCAACAATAATAATCAGCTTTGTGTTGATATTTACTGCTCTGTTGCTGACAATTACCTGAAAGAGAAGTTGGGGTGCTTCACTAGGCTGGAAAAAATTTAGCTAAATCAGAAAGCAGGTCTAATTAAGCAAGTTTATTTTATATATATAAAAGGCTAAGTTGACTCGCATGTGCACAATACATATAAAGCTCTCACTGGCGCCAATCACTAGTATAGTTATAAAATCAGGGCCTTACAAATCCAACGTTTGGTTATGTCTAGCTTTAACTCAAGTAATGATGCTTATTTTTCTGTCACACTAGTACTGTCACTAGTACTATGCTGCTTATATCTTCATAATATGTATTTTGACAAACAGCGCACAGCCATTTATAGAAACTATTGAACTGTGTAATCACTACTCAAGATTACAACTTGTCAAAATAAGTTGTAGTTCCAAGTAGTCATTACATGCAAGTCAAGAGTTAAAGACAATTTGTGATATGGAAACTTGGATCATAGGAGAAGTCGTCTATATTAAGGCATGTAATAATTAGCAAAAGAGATTCGCATAAGAAGAAGAGATAATGCACAGAACTAGCATTATTTTGTCTTCTGTTTTCATAGAGGTATATTCCGTTTTGTGAGATATTCTGGAGGGGGAAAAAAGGAAAATAAGTTAGCAAAAGAAAGCCACACCTGAGAAATGTTAACTTAAATCTGACACAGGAAATAAAGTCTTTCTCTGTTTTTATCTTGGTGTTCTGAATAATGATCAATCTGATAAAGTTTCCATATATAAAGTATTTTAGATAATCTAACTAAAGCACTACATAGTGGAGAATTTTAAAATATTGATACATATTTTGGGATAGTTTTTAAAATTCTCTTATTTGAAAGACATCACTAAAAGTTGAAATTCTAAGAAAAAGATTTGACATTCTAACAATTTGTTTTTCTTTAGGAGTAGATCCCATAATAGATCACGTTCAAGACAAAAAGATAGACGTAGATCTAAGAGCCCACATAAAAAACGCTCTAAATCCAGGGAAAGACGAAAGTCAAGGAGTCGTTCACATTCACGGTGAGTTTTGGGTGAAAAAAAAAGGCTTTGTTAAAAATCTGTTGTGAGGGAAAGTAAACTTTTTTTCTGATTGTTTTAGTAATGATTAATATTGGTTGCCGTTGATTTGCATCTGATTGCCATTATGACTCATGAGGTTTCTGTACTTAATTCCACCTGGTATTTGTTTTTATTTTACTAATTAATCAATTATTTTAATCCTCACTTGAGGTCTTTTTTTTCATCAATTTCTAGAGAGAGTGGAAAGGAGGTAGGCAGGGGAAAAAAGAGAAAGAGAGAGAGAGAGAGAGAGAGAGAGAGAGAGAGAGAGAGAGAGAGAAACATTGGTGTGAGAGAGGCACATTGGCCACTTCCCGCACACACCACAACTGGTCCAGGGATTAAACCTGCAACCCAGGTAAGTGCCCTTGACTGGGAATCGAACCTGCAATCCTTTGGTGCATGGGCTCTAACGATTTAGTAATACTGGCTAGAGTGATATTTGTTTTATTTAGTAGCTTCAGTTACAACTGAGTTATATAGAAACTTGTTATGTCTTATAGCTATTATAAATTGTTTTGTATTGATAATTATTGAAGAAAGAGAGGAAGGTCCTTTTAGGGAGTAGAATTATTTCAGTTGTGAATTTACTTTCTTATTTTTCTTTTTTAAAGGGACAAGAGAAAA